AACGTAGAAGCGTAGGTTTCCCCTCTTTTTTCACTCAAAACATCGCACCCACACTTTTCACTCAAATGAAAACATCGCATGACGACTGAGTCGCCCGCAAAACAATACAAAAAGTGGGCGGAGTCTGAAAAACGAGCAAGTTACTCGACACGAACACATCGAAAACATCGCCGAGCGAGTGGAATATAATATTAATTTCCCCTCTCAGTCGTTGAGTGAGTTTTTATTGCTATGACGTTATGTTAACTTAAAAATGTCATTGTAAATGAATTAAAATAAAATATAAACATCTATAAATAATATAAAATATTATACCAACTAATTATACCCTCTATATAATTATAAAAAGTACCCCCCAACAAATCCCGCCATACGCCACTGTTTTTTCACGCAATTCAAATTTAAAATTTCTGACCTGACCGCGACCACCTTTTTAGTTTAATGCCCAAAAACCCAACCCTTAGTTAACCCTTTATTTATCTGCGATTGTAGAACTGGTTTCTCATTATATTGCGATAGGTAGAAAAATACAGCAGATGATCAATGATCACTGCTATCCTCACAAAAATATATTTCGCCTCGGGCTGTAAATTCACCAAAGTTGTTTTATATTTTTAACAAGCTTAAGCAGATTCACTGGGTAAATAAAAGCTGGCTCTTTTCAATGATTTTACTTAAAGTGGATTTTATATGGGCTTTTTAATGCATTTCTTTTACAGTGGATAATAAAATGGGTTTTTAATAAAAGTCTTTTGTCTTTCAAATATAAAATCATACACTTTAAATAATTCGTTTGTCAGTTTATATTGAGTTAAATATTTATTTTAATATATTGTAGGTATTTTACCTTCACAAATGTTTTTAGCTCCACAAAGTGCAACATTTTATTTGCGAATAGAATGTTCATTTATAGAAAATGCTATCTATAAAATAGTTAAATGTTGATAAAAATATCATATTAAAAGTAAGATTAAAAATAATAATAAGAAAGGCAATATTTATTATGATCTCTGTTGCAAATTTAACAGAATTTTTTTGCTTTAGTTTATACAATGTTTTATAAAACAAGTTTTTTCTTACTTAACTTTAAAATGAATATTAATAACTTTGTTTATTTTTGACAACCATTTTACTTAGTTATGTATATATATTTAAGGTTCTTATTCTCGTTTAAATTTTCCTGGAATTTCCCGTATTAGAAACTCGTTTCGAACGCGACCACTGTACGTGGACATTAACCCAGCCCACCTTTTGTGCATCTGCCTGGCACTTAGTCGCTTCCTGCGGCACTTTGCATCCCCCTGCTGCACCCCCAACGGGAATGTCAACCCCTGTCCTCTAACCCTTTAAACGCTTGACACTTCCCCGCTGACCACACTCCTTGGCCTGGCACACACACACAATTTCAACCATCGCGAGTGCTCTGCAGGCCGTGACGCACTTTTCCAAAGGACTCCGGACTCCTGAGTCCTGTTTTTGTTGTGCGTGACGCATTTTGTGTTATTGTTTTTCGCGTTTTGGTGTTTGGAAGTGGCTACCAACCCCCCGCAAACAAGGCTCTCTCACTCACTCTATAATAGAGCCCTCAACCCTTTCGCCCAACCAAATTGAACAAGTTTTGAGCGGCGAAGGGAGAATTATGGCACGCAGCTTTCGGCCTTTGTCTTGTTTTAGTCCTCCGAAAATTGATGCCAACTTTCCACAATTTTCAGCGACAGTTTGCCCGCGTCGCTCGCCTCGAACAGTGAGAGAAAAACCCAGAGAACTGAGAGGAAATCGGCCAGAGAAATGCGTAAAAAAAATAATACATAAATGGAAAGAGTTCGCCGGTGCTTGAGAAAAAGGGTTTTTCCGGGATGAAAGGATAAATTTTCCTTAATTCCCGTATCGTTGTGCGTTTGTGTGCCTCCTTGAGTGTTTCAAATTTAATGCAAATCTGTGTAAATTCGTTCTGGGCCAAAAAGGACAATTGATAATGAGTCATTCGAAAGGAATTCGAATGGCATTTTAGTGGCACAGGGCCAAAAGGCAAATTAAGTGCTCACATTGCTGCTTAATTGAGAGGGAAAAAATTTAATGGCTTTTGACTGGAATTTAAGAGGTGAGTGGGAAAGCGGATAATTGATTTAAAATGTATTTCCACAAACGAAAAAGCACTGCCACATTTTAATTCACAAAAATATATTTTCTCGATACAATAAATTCCATCATAAATTATTCCTTAATTCCCTTATCAAAAAGTATAAATCTACATTACAATATTTATAATTGATTTAGTATTCCGCGTACTAAACATGACCCTCAGAGCCCTTTGACCCCTGTCCAAAACTAATTTAAACGAAAAACTAATTTTAATGGCATTTTAATGAGCCGCAAAATAAGCGTTCAATTTCGGCCAAAATCAATTAACTTAATTAAATACATTTTATGCATTTATTTATACGTTTCCATTTTAAAACGATTTTAATTGCCGCCAAAAACTATTCGAAATCGATAGGCCGGATAATTATTACGTTTCGTGCGAGTGTGTGGAATGGAACCCTCGTTAAAGATGTGCCACATAAAAAACTAAAATGAAAAATTCGATTGAAATCAAATGGGCGAGTTTAGATTAATTGTGTTGTGTAGAGTAGAGAGATTATTTTAGTGGTTTGTCGCATTGGCGGCTTGATAAAAATGGGGGTCATTGAACTCTCTAGCTGATTTAATTATAATCAGTTGGCTTATATGACTTTTTGGTTTTTTAGCTTTGGAATGCCTTTGTAATATTTATTGATTTATTTCTTGCGAAGCTGAAGTGGCGAAACAACAACAGTATATTATTTACTACTTTACATTTGGATTTATTTTAAATTTTTAAATATTTTCTTGGAGTATATATTGCTTACAAAAAATAAAATGAGGTAATATTAAAACCTTTGTTCTTTTTTGGAGTATTAAATAAAATCTAAGTAAAGATGTTTTTATAATATGTTTTCTACCATCAATAATTTTCAAAAACTGATCTGTTTATTGGACATTCTTTTGATGATTTAAAAATTGTATTTACGTATTACTCAAGTTATATACAGATTTCTTATAAATCTACCCTAACTATCCCATATATTTTTCCACTACCTCTGACTCAATTTCTTTTTTCAAAATGGCAGCAAGATGAAGGCGGTATCTTTGGCGAAGGGAACTGCAAAAAGCCGCAAAACTGCATCTGGCGGTGTTAGGGGGTTGGGTTCTCTAGAGAGCGGCTCAATATAGTATCATATAAGGGGGTTGCAATTACAAAATACTGCCAGATACTTCCACTCAGTGCTGAGTTTAATTATAGCGCGCGACTGGCGAAAAAACTCAGCGAGCCGTTAATAAGCATTTAATTACTCATTCCTGAGTGGCAGGGTGGGGGTGTGTGGGTGGCCCTTTTGAGTGTTTGTATCTGTGTGTGTTTGTTGTGCTGTATCTGTGTGTGCTCGGTGGTATCTGTGTGAGTGAGAGCTCTCTCTATCGCTCTCGCTGATTCTGCTGGCGTTCTGCCAGCGTTTTGGCTTCACCTTCGCGCAGACGCTCGTCTTGAAAAGGGGGCGGAGTTTTTTTTTTCCATACACTTGCCGGCGCGACACCCACACACCCAACCGCCCAACCACCCGCCCACCACCCACTTTACCCCCTCAAAACACCCACCACCCACTTACTTAGTTCGTCTCGCTGCGTGGCCAGGGCAAATAATATTAAAACGAAAAAAAATAGGGAAAAAATTAAGAGGGTTGGGGGAGGTAAAAAGAAAAAAGAAAAACCTCCCGAGCACATTTTCATGTACAATTTTTTCTCATTCGCTCTTTCTCTCTCTTGGCAAATTGTGGCCATATTGGATTTTTAGCACTTTTTTCCGCTGCCGCCAACGCCGCTGCTTCTTCTTCTTCTTGGGCCGGCTCTTCTTCTTCTTCTTCTTGGCCAAATGCCGGCGGTTTCTGTGGGCCGTATTTTCACCCTCATTTTGCAGGGTGGCTCAAAAGTTGATTTCTCTATTTTCCTTTTTTTTGCTTTGCGCGCACATAAATTGTACATAAAATAGGGGGTGGTATGGGTTCGTATGGGCTGTTTTTGGGCGAAGGGTGGGTGGTTGGCATTGGTGAGTTTTGTTGCTAGGTAAATTTTTTCACTGCGGCTTTGATTTACTTGCGTTTTGGCTCAAAATTAAACTCCAACTGGTGTTGGGAAAAAATCGTGGATAAATATATGGGAACGTGGAAAGTATTTCCCCGATTTTTTGAGTGCAAAGCGCGCTTTATTAGAAAAGTGGGTAATCTCTATAAATGATAATAAAAATTTGTCTCAAAACTGAGGGCAGATAAATCTTCAACAACAATAAATATTAAAACATGTTTTAAAAATTTTTAAAAATATTTTTAAGTGGAAATGCTGTGTTTAAGAATTATTAGTTTTGCTTCAATCCAAAATATTTGGTGTGTCAAAAATTAAATACTATAGAGATCTAAAATCTGAAAATCTAAAAATATTTTTATATCATAAAATACAATTGTATTTCTTGATCCTTGCTGGTTTTACTCAAAATGTAACTCCATTTAGAGCGGGAAAGTACCAAAGAAGTGGGCATTAAAATCCTTCGGATTTCCCCGCTTTTTTGCGCTGAGCGCAAATCGCGGTTCATTAGAAAAAATTGCAGAGGGCAGCGCAGTCGACGTCCTGCGGTTGATGGCTGCTGCTCCATTTTTATTTCCAACTCCCTTTTAATTTGCATAACCAACGCACATGTATGGGTGTTGTGGTGGTACTGTGTACTATATATGCATATATATACATATATTCCCGCTGATTTTTATTTATTTTTCAGTTGTTTTTTGTGTGCTTTTCGCCACGACCACGGCCACGGCCAATGCCACCCCCTTTTCCAGTTTTTTGGGTGGGATGAGATGAGGAGGGCAGTGCCATGAAATCGCCGGGACAGGCTCCGTGGTTCATCCTGCCAGTCGGCCTTGTGCAGTTACCCGCCAGCAGCCGATGTCGCCAGTTGCCAGTTGCCAGTTGCCTGTTAGCAGTTAGCAGTCAGCAGTTCCCAATGGCCAGTTGCCACAAATAAATCTTAGTCATCAGCAGACTGGACTGGCCAAGATCAGCCCGGCCAAAATCCAACCAGCCAGCTTCAGAATCTGAATCAGAATCAGAATCAAAATCCAGTTGTGTGACACTTGCAGACTTTTTGCAGCGGAACCACGACGAGACGACGGCCAGCAAACTTGCAGAGAGCTGAATTGATTTATGGCGCAAATTTTATTGTCTGGCCGGGAACTGGAACTCCTGACCAGTTGGCTCTTGGCTTATAGCTCTTAACTTGTTGGCCACTACTAACTGTAAAGCCTCGAAAGTGCCTCAGTGTTGGTGAATCGTGCGCGTGTCATGTGACATTGACTTTTCAGCCGGTTGAAGTTTTTTCCCCTCCCCACCTACATACATGTATATCCATCCATCCAACGCGTACAACTTTGTGTATAAATTATATTATAAAACTGAAACATAAATTGCAACTTAACAAACTGTAACAACTTTCGCTTTGGACCGCAAAAAGAGAATCACGCGCTGGACAAAGTTTGCCATGCATTTGTTGGGTCAACAACAAGTAAGTTTTAAGCGACACGTTTATTTCTGGCAAATTGTTAAGTAAACAAAATGTTTTTGAGTTCGCCACTTGGGCATAACATTTTCGAATTAGTTTCCGTAGAGAAATTCAAACAAAGAACTTCATTTAATACATTAAAAAAATGTTTATATTTATATTTGTCAACTTACTTTAAAAGCTTTGACACTTTTTGTTCTAACTTAATATTTTAGGATAGTGATTTTAATTTATTTAATTTTATATAACCAAAAACCCTTTTTTTCAGTTTTTAGTTAATTTATTAAATCTGTATTTAAATAATTATATAGCAACTTATTCCTTTCAAGTTTTTTTCATAATCAGCTTAAATTAAAATATTTAATTAAATTACAATAGTCTAAGTGAAACGAATCAAATGCCTTCATCACATATTTCATTAAAAATGTTATCTAATTACGGCTAATAACTGTAAGAGTTACATATTAAATGGCGAAATAAAAAACCCCTTGAAATCACAAGTTTTATGACGATGGTAAAAAACAGCATTTCCATTTTAATTGCATTTATTTTAACTAAATCGAGATTGCGTTTATGGTTCATGAATGTTGTTTAATTGTATATAGAATAGCACTTAATTGATAAATGCAAAATAATATTTCCAATTACAATAAACATTATTTGACATTTACAAACACCAGTTTACCCATGTGTGTAAAAAACCACTCGTGAATATATATACATTTCTCTTCATTTCTTAATGGGAAAACAGTCAAATCGAGTTGAATCTGCACCTGTATGCCATTTAATAAATAATGAAAAGACAGCAACAAAAATCGGGGAAATCAGTGGCATTTTTAACGCTTCCACTAACTGAACAACAGCGAATGCAATCTCTCCGTATGCCTCTTCCTTGTTTTTTATACTTTTTATTTTTTCGCCAGCTTGTCTCTCACGACTATCGAATTAAAATTTCCACTGCCACTGCTTCAATATTGATATTTCATCAGCAGCTCGAAGAGTTTATTTTAAGTACACATACGAACATTGATATGTATCGGCGCACATACAAAATATATGCACTGTACACAGGCTGAAGTGAAGTGAAGTTGGTAAAGCGCATTACGGTTTTAAGCTGGCAGCCGCTTATCAAGGACCACTTAAACAACCGCCGACCCACTGCGAGAATTTCGCATTCACATCCACATCATTCAGCATCCCCAGCCTCCTCGACTTTCCGCCTTTTCTCAGTTATTGTCAGTGGGAATTTGCAGAGAGAAAAATAAATGGTTAGAATATGAAATACATTTATAGTCAGAAAGGCATCTATTATAAACTTACGTAACTGACTACCTTTTTTACAAACAAGTTCAAAATTAAATACTTTCAATATATTTTAATCCAACAATTACCTGTTTAGTACAAGATATATGCTTTATATTATAAATATATACTTCATAACATATTTTAAGATGGTATGCAAATATTATAAAATTATATTTGCTATACACTCCATTTGTAATATCACATTCTCACCGTGTACTTGCGGTTGACTTGGGTGGAAAAAGGGGCGGGGATGTGGAGCGCATTGAAGTGCAGATTGGCAGCTTCATCGCCGTTGATTCAGAACTGGACTGACGGGAACCGAAAAACCCACTCCCAGTCTCATCATTAAAAACAACCGAAAATAAGAAGAAAACGAAATATCTCGTACATAAACAACAACGACAGCACGGCAGCAACAAAAACCAACCCAAATAATAGCAAGTGAAATGTGTTTTTATATATGTATGGTCATATGGGTATATTTATAAAGGCGATTCTCGGTGGAGGGGGTAAAGGAGGGCTTACACGTGTCTGGGCGTTTCTGCATCATATGTATCTGGATCTGCATCTTTTCCGGGCGATGCAAGTGGGGATACATGTAGCCAAAGGTGACCCAAATTAAGAAACCCATGCTGCAGAAGCTCAAAATTAATTTATACTTTCCAAATCTTAAGATGGCTTGGAGTTGCTTACACAAAAATTGCCAAAGAAATATTTTGAGTTACTTCAACAGACCTCCATGAAAACTAAAAAACATTTTTAATTAGTTCCACTTATCCGGAATTTCTTAGTGGGCAAAAGAGCATTTAACATCAGACTTCGCGTGAATAATCCCTGTTTTTCGGCTTAAACTTTAGCCATTAGTGGGAAACACTCTTACGTTCTTATTTTTAAATCTTTCTTTGCCAACTTTAAGTCCCACCACCCACTGTTCAACCCCTACTACCCCATGAAAACCCAGCAGCGCCAGACAATCCTTTCTTTTTCCCCGTACTCTTTGGACTTCGGACTTTTAACCATCGCTTCATCAGCACATTTTTATCCTTTTCCTTTGCCCTCGTACCTTTTGCTTTGTTCTACCACTCTTGAACCCCCGCTTCTTTGGGCTTGGTTTTTAATTTTCAGCTGATTTTTTGATTAATGCTTAAACGTTTGCTCCTTTTTCCGCTGGACTCCGGACTGCTCCGGACTCCTTTTATGCAAATCTCCAGGCACTTTAATTAGAAACGAGAAAATGTCCTTTTAGAAGGATGGAGATGCCGTTCACTTCCAAGTTTTCCTCATTATGCCCGCTTTTTGTGTTTGTCATTTATAAATTGGAAAAGTTTCCTTAAGCAAATTATGCCATTCCATCCCTGTCCCCAGAAAAAAATAAACGATGTCCGAAGCAGAACCCTTTTGGCCAAAAGTAACCCCAGATTGCCAAGAGCTCCCTTTTATTCGCTCAGCTGACGTTTCTCAAAACAAAAGTCACATGGTCGCGCTTCCTTTTCGACTTTTTTTCTTGTATCCTATCCCCATTCAGATTTGTTTTTCAAGATCCCTCATTGAGGTAGGACCGTCTGAGCAGTCGTTAAAGGTTCTCAAGGTTCGCGTCTTCAGGTTCCCAACGAGCTGGTGACGACTTTGCATCCGCCTGTGCCTCTCTGCTTTTTCCCGGTGCATTCAACTTTATGTCTTTGATTTATTGCTGGCTGCCTTTGGCTTCCTTTCTCGGGGGATCGGGATCGGGATAGGGATTGGGATCCGACTCTGAATCTGAATCTGAATGAAAGCGAAACAATGCCGGGGTTCGGGGCCCCTCTCGTTCCTTATCCTGTTGTTATCGGTTGACCCTGCGTTATGTAGGTCTATAGGCTACTACTACCTCATGGCACTTTCGGTTTTTACCGCCGAGCGTTCTGTGATTGCTTCACCCCTTCTGTTCTTCTGGTTCTCTGTGTCTCGACTGACTGTGATGTAATAAATACGCGGCGATCCCTAAACCGATCCGTATCTGTGTATCTGCATCTGTCTCTTTGTTCGCATCCGAAAGGAACATGTGCTTGCGCCCCTCGTTGGCCATAAATTGCCGCTGAGTTGAGGGAAAATCTGTTGATTAGTGGGAAAAATCGAAAGGCCAACCGATGAGCGGCAGAGAATAGAATTCCTGGCCGTACTTTGTGGTCATCTGGGCGCAGAGATTATGTCATAAAGATAAAAGGGGAACAACAAGTGTTGCCTTTGTGACCCGAGGTGTGTGCATCGTAATTAGCCCGGGGTTTCAGGTTAGAGGGCGTGGCCTTACTCCTCCGGAGATGTCAGTCATTGAGGATTATTTGGAGGGAAGTGCATTTACCTGATGTGCAATAGGAAACAATTAAGGTCTTGTTAAGAAGGTCGTAACTTTAAGTATTTATGGGATTTCTTTAAATTGACCTTTCTAGAAGTTTATTTTATTTTCTATAAACTGCTAGTTTTTCTTGGGATGCAATGTTATTTCAAATGGTTTATTAGCTTGGGATTATATTCAGAATATTTTCCAAATATATTCATTTCAATATGCATATTCCCCGCTTGATAGACACTTCTGACATGCATTTTCAGCCATGATAGCCCCGCAAATTGTTCGTCTAATGGTTGCATCACCGAAACAAGAACAACACCCACAATTAGCGGCTGAGCAAAAACAATGCAATTGACTGTGAGAAAAAACAGACTCGAGGCGGGAAAAACTCACTCAAGCCGGTTGTTTTTGCCCGCTTTTCCCTTTTCGGCCCTCTTGGCAGCTCCGTCATGCGCAAGGTTTTTGAGTTTTGAGTTCTGAGCCAAGAGTTCTGGGCTTACTGTGTTGTGTGGGGCTAAAATGTCACGTTCGATCATTGAAGTTGCCCCGCCCCCCACACCCTTCGACCGCCCCTCTGGGGGCCAACTAATGCATATGCCAAAGCGGGCACGTAGGCGCATCAAAAGGAAATGTCAGTCAGGCGACAAGCCCACAACGGCAAAAGCAACACGGCCAACATCACACTGAAAATAAAGTTGGTACCGATTTCTTAAGAAATTTAAATAAATATATCAGAAAGGAGGGATTGCTTGCGCAAAAGTTCTATGCCGATGCTGTATCGGTACTAGCGTACTAATATTTAAAATCCAAAGTCTATCGGCCGCCCCAAGAATTTGAAATATATGTTTATTAAACATATCACATGTTTTGGGATTTTAAAAAAATATTAGCTTTAATTGGAAATGTTCTGATATTTATTATATTGCTAATATATATATAGCATTTATTTGCTATATATATAATATAATTTTTCCCTGTGCACCTAACCAACAACAACAGCTGAGTTTTCGATTCTAGGGCTGAGTGGTAATCCTTTGGCGAAACACGTGCAAGCCCACACACAGATACAGATACTGGCCAAACTCACGGATACAATAACTCAAAGATACGAATGCGAGTGCTACAAACGAGTGTGGTGGGTTCTCAGACTTGTGGTGGGCTACAAAGCCACAAAAGCACACCAGCAACATGTTGACTGCAGCTGCTGCAGAATTGCATTTCGCAAAAACACATTCACACGCAAACAGCACTGAAGAAAGAGAGGTCTATATGGGGTCAGAGGGAGAGGGCGAATATATATGTATATAGACGATTATACGATATTTTTTTTTCTGCCTACCAAAAGTTGCCGTCGACGTCGACGTTGCGAATG